ATGTAAGGCCTCGGTTCAGTTCACAGTCCAACCTAAGCAATACTGTACCTGTGGTCCTGGCTAGCTGGGAGGCTGGGGCAGGAGGATCATGACATGGTTAAGACCCTGTCAAAAATACCTATCTTGGGAACCAGCAGTTAGTGTAATAGCTATGTCGCTGGACTCCCACGTAGTCGACCGCAGTTCGCGTCCTGGACCCGGTGGCTTAAACTCACGCCGGGTGCGTGTGCGTGCATGCCCAAGATCCCGAAAGGAGAATGGAGGAGAAGGGACTGCGGCGTGACCATCCCCTCTGGGGGGTGATTTCTCACTTTCTGTCTCTATGTCTCTGTCTGTCTGGCGAGCGCACGCACCCTATAGCGAAAACCTCTCAAAAAAAAAAAAAAAAACCTATCTTGGGGCCAATCTGGGACATGATGGTGGATCCCATATGGCCAAGTGCTTGGTTCAAATCTAGGAGCCTGAAAAACATGCTGGGTATATGTGCATGCATGCCAAAATTCCACAAGGAGAGGGAGATAAAGGAGATAAAGAAGAAGGAATTACAGTGTGACCATCCTCCACGGGGAGTGCTTTCTTAGTCTTTCCTCATCTCTTTCTGGTGACTACACATAACCTCTGGCAAAAATTAAAAAAAAAAAAAAAAAAAACTCATTAAAAAAATAAAAACCCTATCTCAGCAGAAGCCATAGTGCAGCAGTTTAGCAATATGCATAGGAAACTGGATCCCACATGGCTAACTGCAGCCATGCCTCAAATCCTTGCACTAGGGGCTTGAAAAACATGACATGCACATGTGCATAGGTGCACCCAAAATCCTGACTGAGATGGAAAAATGGAGTAAAGGGACTGTGGCATGACCACATCCCACTGGGGAGGTGCTTTCTCTCTCTCTGCCTCTGGTGAGCACACGTTTTCTGACAAATGTGTATACACACACAGACACAAACCCCTCTCTCTCTGTGTCATTTAAAAAAAAAAAAGACACACATGCACATACACTGCTTTTGCTTATTGTGGTTCTGGATTAAGTAAGATCTACAAAATATCCTTGCCCACTAGAAAGAACCTATGAGGGAAAGGAAAGCTTCTCACATCCCTGAAGTAGGAATACTCAGGAGGGGTATGTGGGCCCCCCTCTCTCAAGGCAGAACAATATAGTAGCAAAATGTACAGGCTCTCCAGCCAGAATGCCAGGGTTCATGTTCCTGGCTTTCCCGCTAAAGTTCTAAGACAATGGAAAGTGAATTCCTCCTCTGTCTCTATCTGCTCATCTCTAAAAGTGGAAGAGATATTACTTACTTATCTCATAGCCTTAAATGACTTCAAAATGATGAGCTTAGAACAGTGTTTGTTACACAGTGAATTGTCAATGATAGTTTGATATTGTTATATATTTTGCTCCCATGATTTTTTTTAAGGTTTTTGCCATTGGGCATGTGTGCTCCCCAGAGACAGAGACAGTGAGAGGAAAAGTGAGAAATCACTCCCTAGGGCGATGGCCACGCTGCAATCCCTTCTCCTCCATTCCCCTCTCGGGATCTTGTGCACGCATGCACACACACACACACACACACACATGCCCGGCATGATTTCCAAAGTACCAGGTCCAGGACGAATCATGGTTGGCCAGGTGAGAGTCCAGCGCCTTAACCACTATGCTATCTGCCGGCCCCTCCTCCAGTATGATTTTTATCATTCTGTATAGACCTTCATCCTGCTTTTGGTTAGTGAAAAATCTTCCAAGTGCCTAGCGTACTCCTGATCTCAGTTTCAAATACCCATTGAAAGATTCTATATTTATAAACTGTTTTCAAGATTACTTCAGGTAAAAATATTCTATATTTTTGAGAGGTTTTGCTTTCTATTTTTGTTTTAGCTAAATGACTAGTGGTGAATGACTACTTCCTTCTTTGGGATTATATAAAGGGAAATTAAGTATAACTTGAACATTCAAAAATAAAAACAATTACATGATTAAACTATACCTTATAAATTGATCTTTGAACAAGTGGGTCACTTAGTTTAAAATTATGTGTTAATCTGTATTCATTTTGAGGCTGACCTTTGGCATTCCGCCATTAAAAATATATAAAATTATTTGCGAGTCTGTTAGGATATAATCAGCCTCAAGTTACAGAATATCAGATAACTGGTTAAAACGAAAAATCATTAACTCCTGGGATATAAATTCTGTAAGTGGGTGGTTCCTGGGCTGAGTTAAAGTCAACAATGTCCTCCAGGATCTGGGCCCTCCCATTCTTTCCTCTTTGCCATTCTCTAGATTGGTATTTCACCAAGGTTACAAATTGACTGTCAATTGCTTTGGATGGCTCACATTACAGGTACCATGTAGGAAGGAAAAGAATAAATTGGGGTGGGGAACCTTACAGATTAACTTGCTCTCCCCCTTAGGGAACATCTTCCCAGAACTCTCCAACAGATTTTTTTCTTTTTTTACAGCTTCACTGGTCAGGATTGAGCCATATGTCCATCATCTAGGCTCATGACTAGCAAAGAGAAACAAGAGTTAAAACTGACTGGCTTATACTAGTTGTAATTTATCCCCTGGGATTGAAAATGCCTTCCCTGGACACACTGCTACCAACCGATAACTAAGAGGGCCTTCTTTAGCCCTTAGAGGTGAGGGTGAATGTTGGAGGCAGCAGTCTTCATACTGCCCACTGCTACTTCCGTGCCACTTCCAGCTAAGCATATCCTCTAACACTCAAGACGCACTTAGATTCTTGCAGTTCCTAAATACATTTCACACCTTCTGTTCTGATCACACTGCTCCTTATGCCTAGAATGTTCTTCCCTCACCTTTTTTCCTCGTTCTTCAAGGCTGCTCCCTTTTGTAGACAATCTTTTCAATAACCTTGGCTTCTCAGTTCCATGACTTTCTCTCATCTAATAATCTAATCCTCTAACCATTTCATCTACTTATTTCATGGCCATAACTAACACTTGCCATTAATTTAATTTGTTCCATAACCTTAACGTTTAATAGTTTCAACTAAAGGGTAGATTGAGTTTTGCAAAGCAACTCCCAGAGTTTAGTCTGGAACCATCTATAACTCAGGAAACAATCTGCCAACTCCACTATCTTGTCCTATAAACCAAAGGACAAGTATAGAAACTTCAATTTTTAGCATTCACAACTGCTAGAATATTCCTGTTTCCATATCTATCTTCTTTTTCTTTCTTTAGAGATTTTTGCTATAGGAAGCATGCACTTGCCAGAGAGACAGACAGAAAATGAGAAATCATCCCCTGGGGAGATGGCAATGCCACAATCCCTTCTCCTCCATTCTCCTCTCATGATTTTGGGCACACACACACACACACACACACACACTTGGCATGAGTTTCAAGCCACCAGGTCTGGGACTTGAACCAGAGTTGGCCACACTGGAGTCTAGCACCTTAACCACTATGCCACCTGCTGGCCCCTCCATATCGATCTTCATCTAGATACTTTGGGAGGCTAGAATTCCAGAGATATGATGTGTCATTTCTTTCCTGGTATGTTGTCTGAATTACTATAGAAAAATTAGAGAAGGTAAGTTTACTATTTTGACTGTCTGAAAAAGCACCACCCCTATGGAAGAAAGATAATTATCCAAATTTCCAGCATGACAGAAATTAGTGTCATCTAATGCAATGAAAAAAATATTTTTTTATGGGACTAGCAGTTGGCTTAATGGCTATGTCACTGGACTCTCATGTAGTCAAACACGGTTCAAGTCCCGGATCCAGTGGCTTAAATTCACACCGGGCATGTATGTGTGCATGCCCAAGATCCCAAAAGGATGGAGGAGATGGAGGAAAAGGGATTGTGATGTGGCTATTCCCCCTGGGGGGTGATTTCTCACATTCTGTCTCTGTCTTTCTGGCGAGCGCACACACTCTAAAACAAAAAAAAAAAAAAAAAAAAAAAAAGAAAAAGAAAAAAAAATTTTTTTTGATTTGTGGATCTCTGAGCCAGAAGACAATAGAAGAAGTCTCAAACAGTTTTTTAATTTCTTTTCAGAGATTCTGCTTCATAAGGTAAAGCCTGGGCATGCAGACAGTTTTTCTCAACTCAGCTTTCTTTTTTTCATAACCAATGGGAATTTTGTCCAGATTGTGGGACACATAGTCTTTCACTGAGGAGCTATATGCTAGTAAACTAGGAGCTAGTAACCAGGTACTATTTCCATGTATTTTATTTAATGATTTCTTAAAATAATTATTTAATTTAATTAATTTATTTTTTAATTTGACCAGAGTGGGACAGAGTGAGAGAGAGAGAGGGAGAGAGAGCGAGAAAACAAGCCGCCAGGCCTGGAACTCGAACCACAGCCAGCCATGTGGGAGTCCAGCACCCTTAACCCTACGGCACCTGACTGATAGCCACCTATTCAATGGTTTTTAAAATTTTGCCAGAGGATATATGTGCTCACCAAGAAAAAAGAGAGAAAGACAGAAGGGCTCCCCCCACCATGGGGAATGATCATGCCACAATCCCTTCTCCTCCATTTCTCCATCCTGTCAGGATTTGGGGTATACACATACATATACCTGGCTTGTTTCTGAAGGTGCTGGATCTGGAATTTGAACTGCAGGGCTGGCTATGTGAGATTGGCTGCCTTAAACACTAGACTACAGAGCTGGTCCACCAGATATTATTTTTAAACCGGAATTATTTTGTTTATTTGTTTTTAAACAAGTTAAAGACTTCAGTAAAATTTGTTTCAGACATCTCACAAAAACTAAGTAATTATAGAATATATAGATTTTATAAATCATTCTATTCACTTCTATATAAAGTAAATAAATTAGATGAGGGAAAATGTGTTTTATATTGCTTCACATATTATGCAAAGAAAGAACCATAAGAAATGAGGAGCAAAAATAAAAATATCCCTGGATAAAATCCACGTGTACAGAAGATGATTCAGGATGTTATAAATAACTCATACGAGGTAAAGCAAACATGCAATATTTATATATCATCCTCTGATGAAAGGGCATATTTTATTAATCCTCAAGTTCCTTAGCATAGTAATAATAAAAGCTTGCCATATATTAACAGTAAGTCCGATTGTTGTGCTCAAATGAAATCCAAGTTATTTTAGGGTGAATTTGCTTCTTTTTCATCTGAGTCATCATCCATAACCTAAAACCAAAATACAAAGAGAATTTAAGTATTAAGAAAGTAATTAGAAATTACTGTTTTCCTGATTTAAGTTATTAATTGGTTACCTGAAAGACTCTACATAATAGCATGAGAATCTAATAAGACTAAATCTATCAATAATTCCAAAGCACAAGGTTTGAATCATAACCTGGTATCCAAAATACAACAGCAAATTAAATATTTGCAAATTAATTAAAACACTGGTATCTTTTTCTTGTCTCAAAAAAAGTTTCCACTGACAGAGCTTCAGTTGAGCAGAAAAGACTCTAAATAATGAACTAGCATACTCTAGCCATGAGACTAAGGTAATTCATTTTTTTTGTCCACAAAGCTTCTTATTTACTTAAATATATGGTATGGAGCTAAACTAAACTTATCATAAAAAAATGAATTATTAAGAAAACGAATCCCAGGACCAGCAGTTAGCGTGATAGCTATGTCGCTGGACTCCCATGTAACCGACCGCGGTTTGAGTCCTGGACCCAGTGGCTTAAACTCACGCTGGGCGTGTGCGTGCATGCCCAAGATCCCGAGAGGAGAATGGAGGAGAAGGGATTGCGGCGTGGCCATCCCACTTGGGGGCTGATTTCTCGCTTTCTGTCTCTCTCTGTCTTTCTGGAGAGTGCACGTACCCTGTAGTGAAAACCTCTCCAAAAAAGGGGGAAAAATAAAGAACCCCTAAAAAAGGTAAAGAAATGAAAATACCATACTAGCAACTAACTATTTTGGTTTTACTCGGGAAAAAAAAAAAAAAAAAAAAACTTCATGAAATGTGAAAATTTACAGTTAAAAATATTAATGAATTCTGGATTTAAAAAATGAAAAGATTGGGACTAAGAGATGGCATAAAGGTTACACTGCTGGACTCCCACATAGTTGACCACAATCTGAGTCCTGAACCCAGAGACTTAAAACTCACCTGGGGTGCGTGTGGACACATGCCCAAAATCCCAAGAGAATGGAGGGAGAAGGGATTGTGATTTTTCAATTTCTATCTTTCTGTCTCTCTCTGTCTCTCTAGCAAGTGCACACATCCTATAGCAAAATCTCTCTCAGAAAAAAAAAAAGATTAGTATCTTTATATGAGTTAATATATCACTCAGATAATAAAGACCAATTCCTGTGTAAACGAAATGTTAAATAAACCTAAGAATACTTTTTTTTTCTTTACCACACCTACTACAATCAAATGCCAATGCAAGTTTACAATCTTGTGGTCAATTCACACCACTCTGAACAGTGAAAGAAATGTTCCTTTACTGGGCCAGCAGGTGGCATGCAGGCTAAGATAGCTGGATCCCACATGGCCGACTGTGCAGTTCAAGTCCCAGACTAGTGGCCTGCGTGACCAAAATCTTGAGAGAAGAGGAGAGAAGGGATTGAGGCATGACCACCCACCTCCAGGGAGTGATTTTTCAATTTATCTCCCTCTCTCTCACCAGCAAGCATACATTCCCTATAGCAACTAAAACAAACAACAAAAAAGCTTCTTTATAAAAATGTTCCTTCATTGGGACCAGCAGTTAGAATAATGGCTGTGTCGCTGGACTCTCACGTAGCTGACTGCGGTTCGAGTCCCAGACCCAGTGGCTTAAACTCAGGCCGGGCACGTGTGCATGCATGCCCAAGATCCTGAAAGGAGAATGGAGGAGAAGGGATTGCGGCGTGGCCATCCCCCCAGGGGGGTGAATTCTCGCTTTCTGTCTCTCTCTATCTTTCTGATGAGCACATGCGCCCTGTAGCAAAAACCTTTCAAAAAAAAAAGTAATGGCTATGTTGCTGAACTCCCATGTAGCCGACCACGGTTTGTATCCCGGACCCAATGGCTTAAACTCATGCCGGGCGCAGGTGCATGTGTGCCCAAGATTCCGAGAGGAGAATGGAGGAAAAAGGATTGTGGCGTGGCCATACCCCTGGGGGGTGATTTCTTGCTTTCTATCTCTTTCTGTCTTTCTGGCGCACATGCCCTGTAGCAAAAACCTCCCCCCAAAAAAGTTCATCAATCTATCAAACTGTCAAAAAAACACAATCATTTTTAATTTGTCAGAGGGCATGTGTGTTTTCCAGGGAGAAAGAGAGAAAGTAAGAGGAGGGAGGGAAGTGAGAAAGCACCCCCCCGTGGGGCATAGTCACACCATACTCCCTTCTCCATTTCTCTCTTCTTTCAAGATTCTGGGCATGGGACCAGCAGATGGCATAATGGTTACATTGTTAGACTCCCAAGCAGTTGATCACAGTTAAGAGTCCCAGACCCAGTGGCTTAAACTCATGTCAGGCACATGTGCATGCATGCCCAAAATCCTGAGAGGAGAATGGAGGAGAAGGGATTGTGGCATGGGTGCTGATTTCTTGCTTTCTGTCTCTCTGTTTCTCTCTGTCTCTATCTCTCTGGTAAGTACACACACACTATTATAAGATTCTGGGCACATATGCATACATGTCCAATGTATTTCTCAAACTGCTGGGTCTAGGACTCAAACTAACAGTCAGCCATGTAGGATCCAGCTTCCTTAAACACCACACCAAGAGCTGGACCTAATGCAATTTTTTTAAAAGCACAGAGGGATAATGAAACAAAGATAAAGTTAAAAAAAAAATCTAGATGAATCTGATTCTAATCTAAGACAATCAATAGAAAAACAATTCCTGGGACCAATAGATTGCATAATGGTTAATTCACTAGACTCACATGTAGTAGAACATTTTGAGTCCAGAACCCAACAGCTTAAATCTCATGCTGGATGTGTATGCATGTGTGCCCAAGATCCTGAGGGAAAAATGGAGGAGGAGGAGGGATTGTGGTGTGGCCATCCTCCCCAGGGGGGTGACTTCTCACTTTCTGTCTCTCTCTTTGTCTCTCTCCATCTCTCTGGCAAGTGCACGTGCCCTATAGCAAAAAATCTCTCTCAAAAAAAACCCCCAAAAACCAAAAAAAAAACCACAATTCTCTCAGTTTCTCTTCTGGATTAAGTAAAGTGGATATTTACCTCCAAGGATTGAGCTCATCCAATCTCAGTAATACTGAATCAAAGTAATTTAGTCAATAAACACATGTTACTGGCAGATTTTTTTAAGAGAATTTCTTTAAGAATTACTTTATTTTAACTTTATTTATTTAATTATTTTAATTTGACCAGAGAGGGACAGAGTGAGTGAGAGAGAGACAGAGGAAAAGTAAGAAAGCAAGCCACCAAGTCTGGGACTTGAACCGTTGTCGCCCATGTGGGAGTCCAGCGCCCTTAACCACCACGCCACCTGCTGGCCCCTATTGGCAGAATTATTCCTAAATTTGGAATAATATTCTCAAATTCTTAGTACAAACTATGTGTAGGACATTTGTAAGACACAGGGCGAATTGTTGCAGAGGAATATAAAGGCCTATAGTTATGATTTCAAGTTTCTCAGCCTATGCATAAAGGTAAAGCTGAAACAGACATGCAGAAAGAAGCTTTGGACCAGTAAAAGTAAAGCTTAACTCCAAGTAAGGAACTGATAAGAGCTTCAAAGAAGAGATGGCATGTACTGGACCAAAAGTAAGGACATTAATAATACCCAGAGATGAATGATTTTCAGAGGAGCAGACAGGAGTTGACCTCTCTTTAAGACAGCCTGAAGAATAGTTTCAAATTTCTAATTTCCACACATTCTTTATAATCTCCCTCTTTAAGGTCATGCCCTAGTTGAGAATCACTGTGGTAAAAGGCACCAGAACTGCTGAGAAAGTGATATCCTATACTTCTCAGGAATGCTGGGGAGAAGAAAGTTGATTTCATGCTATAGACAAAGCTCTCAGTACCTACTTGGTACTGCCATTACCGTTTTACCATACAACAAACCACACTTCCTTGAAGAATTTCTTGCTTGTATGTTTAGGAACAAAGAGTGGATAAGCAGTGTAGTGGTGAATCTCCTTGACTAAAGACCTCAAAACCTGTCTATAAAACTGAAAGATGTTTTAAATTCCTTTTTCATAATTTTTCTACAACCAGAACAGCAGTATGTCCCCTGAATTCAGTTTCCTTACGTACAAAATGGGAATGACTTACTTAATGACGGTGTTATTTAAGGTATCATATAATAATTGGCATACCTGTTCTACGCCTTCTACTTCTGGAATATAAAACTGTAGCATGTTTTGAATTCCATTTTTCAGAGTAATGATTGAACTAGGACAGCTAGTACAAGAACCTTGGAGTTTCAACTGTACAATGCCATCTTCAAAGCCTTTATAGATTACGTCTCCGCCATCTTCCTGCACAGTCGGCCTGTGGTCACAGAATATTTATGATATATTTAAAAGAACATATATTTTCATTGAAAAAATTTAATATACCTTAGTTTTCTCTCTCTCTCTCTCTCTCTTTTTTTTTTCTAATTTGCCAAAGGGCACATGTTTTAAAAGGGAAATTACAAAGCACCCCCTTCCCCCCAGGGCATGGTCACACCACAATCCCTTCTCCTCCATTTGTTGCTCCTTTTAGGATTTTGGGCATGGATGCACTTGTGTCCAGTGTGTTCTTCAAGCCTCCAGGTCTGAAACTTGAACCATGCAGTTGGCCATGTGGGATCAGCCGCCTTAACTACCATGCCACCAGCAGGGCCCATAGTCAGTTATTCTAAAGACTTTGCAAGATAACTCTACTATCTAGGCCACTTATGGATCTGAGCTTTTTAAAATTTTCTTCTTTTCTTTTCTTTTTTTAATTTGCCAGAGTGTGTATGTGCTCACCAGAGAAAGAAAGAGAAAGAGGAAAAGCAAGAAAGTATCTATCATAGCGCATGGTCACATCACAATCCCTTCTCTTTCATTTCTCCCGTTTTTCAGGATTTGGGGCATGCATACACATGCACTCAGCATGTTTCTCATGCTGCTGAATCTGGGATTTGAACCATGCAGTAATAGTTACTTAGATGCTAGTATAAGTTAGTAATTTTACCACAATTTTACCAAACAGGGCCAGCCCCTATTTATTTTTTCTTTTGGTTCAGTTTCTAGGTATGCCTAGTATTTTTTTTTTTTTTTTTAAGGTTTTGCCATAGGGTGTGCACTCACCAGAGAGGAGATAGAGAGACAGAGACAGAGAGAAAAAGTGAGAGATCACCCCCTCCCCCTAAGAGGGATACCCATGACATAATCCCTTCTCCCCCACTGTCCTCTCAGGACTTTCAGCACACATGCACATGCACCCAGTGTGATTTTCAAACCACTGGGTCAGGAACTTGAACCACAGTCAGCCGTGTGGGAATCCAGCTCCCTTAACCATTACGCCACCTGCTGGTCCCCTAATTTTTGACAGAATGATGTACAATATGTATGAAAAACTGAAATGACTTGGGATTACATCATATCAAAAAAGATTCATCCTATCTTTTGACAATAGCTCAATCTACTCTGGAATTAAGCTGATTCAATACTAGACTACCATTTTGTAAGAAGCCTAACCATGACCCTGGCTGTTTCTTGAAGCCTAATTTCCTTTACTGATCCTAAACTCCAATTTTTGTCCTACTCTAGCACCTTAAAACTACCCACACTCTGTTCTGTTTTCGAATTGCTTTTTTGACTTCTTAATGTCTTCTCCTACATAGCTAAGAATAAACAAGTTCATGAAAAGCTCCGAATGTTAGGATTGCTATTTTGGGCTTATTTATTAATTTTGGTTGAAAAATAAAAATGTTATACATTTATCATGTACAACATGTTTTGAAAGATGTATATATTGTGCAATGGCTAAATTGAGCATATTAACATATTAATTATCTCACAAACTTATCATTTTCTTATGGTGGAAACAATGAAATTCTTATTTTCAAGAAAGTAATACGTGGTGGAGCCAGCAGTTAGCATAATGGCTATGTCGCTGGACTCCCATGTAGTCGACAGCGGTTCGAGTCCCAGACCTGGTAGCTTAAATTCATGCCGGGCGTGTGTGCGTGCGTGCCCAAGATCCCAAGAGGAGAATGGAGGAGACGGGATTGCGGTGTGGCCATCCCCCCTGGGGGGGGTGATTTCTTGCTTTCTCTCTCTCTGTCTCTGACTTTCTGGCGAGCGTACAAGCCCTATAGCAAAAACCTCTCTCAAAAAAAAAAAAAAAAAGGAAAGAAAAGAAAAGAATACGTGGTAAACAATATATTGTTATTAACTATATAGGCATATTATTTATTCTTAACTTCCCTATTCTCTGAGCTCTCCCTCTAAATCAAATTTCACTGGTAACCAGAATTTTAGTATTTTTCTCCTCAGTTGCACAGTTTTCTGAAAACTCAGTGGTTTCTCTGATTCTATGTAGTTGCCTTCTGCCCAGCTTCTTATACCCTTGTTCTACAATAAGAATCAGCAGGACCAGCAGTTGGAGTAATGGCTATGTCGCTGGACTCCCATGTAGCCAACCGCGGTTCGAGTCCCAGACCCGGTGGCTTAAACTCACGCCAGGGGTGTGTGCATGCATGCCCAAGATCCCGAGAGGAGAGTGAAGGAGAAGGGATTACGGTGTGGTCATCCCCCCTGGGAGTTGATTTCTCCTTTCTGTCTCTTTGTCTTTCTGGTGAGCACACACACCCTATAGCAAAAACCTCTCCAAAAAAAAAAAAATAATAAGAATCAGCAACTGCTCCAATGGAAGCCTCAGGAAACTTCCCTTCTTACCAGGATCTTGGCACCTCAATTTTTGGTGGTGTTGGCTGCTAATACCTCCAAATAATTTTTTTAAATTAGTTTATTTAACTTTGTTGTTATTATTATTATTTTTTAATTTGACCAGAGAGAGAGAGAGAAAGTGAGAAAGCAAGCCACCAGGGTCAGGACTTGAACCACAGTTGGCCATGTGGGAGTCCAGCGTGCTTAACCACGTCACTCACGAGGCCCTCAAATAAACTTAGCTTGAATTTTATCTAGTTTCTCCAGTTTTTTTTAGCAGGACTATTAGACTGCTACAAGCAAAAGGAGAAGCCAGCTATTTTCCACTCATTTAATTTATTCTTTATGGACAAAAGCCTGAAAATAGGCACTTCTCACTTCGCAGTCTTCCCAAACACTGTTAATCTTTTCTTTCTAAGAAATTTGGTATTATAGCAATATCAAATCTAAATGATGACTGTGAAAAGATAAATTTCTACTTTAGTATGTTGAAATGGATTGAGTGTTTTAAAATTCTGCATGAATGTAGAGAAGGTACAAGCTTTAAACTCAATTGTCATGGTTATCTATCATGGTTTATACTAATTTGTATTTATTTTGGGATTCTACTGTAATCTCATAGACACCTATACATACATTGCTATAATGAAAATTACCTCTTGTACTGTTATCAGTTGGAGAGTAGAGTACCTACCGTATTCTAGTGTCTAACAATTCCTTAATCATTGCCACAACTTCATCATCTTCTTCAGATCCTAGACACAATTACAAATAAAAAAATACCAATAGTAGAACATTTATATCCATGGAAGTACATATATGAAAACAAAATGATTTTAACTTCACAGTTCATTAAAAACATGAGAGCACAGAACATATTAACTTGGTATGGTGATACAACTGACTTTGGGGAAACTGTAAGAGAATTTGATTCTCCAAGGAACATAATGGTTATGTCACTAGACTCCCACATAGTCAGCCCTGGTTTGAGTCCCAGACCTGGCAGCTTAAAACTCATGGCGGGATAGGGACCGGCAGGTGGTATGGTGGTTAAGGAAACTGGACACCCACATGGCCATCTGAGGTTCGAATCCCAAACCTGGTGGCTTGCTTTCTCACTTTCCCTTTCTTTCTCTCTCTCTCTCTCTCTCTCTCTCTCTCTCCCTCTCTCTCTCTCTCTCTCTCTCTCTCACTCTCACTCTGTCCCTCTCGGGTCAAATAAAATAAACAAATACATAAATAAATAAATCACAATAAAATCATTAAAAAACAAACAAAAAACAAACAAAAAAGCACTCATGCTGAGTGTGTGTGTGTGCGTGCCCAAGATCCTGAGGAGAATGGAGAAGGGATGGCAGCACGTCAACCCCTGAGGAGAATGATTTCTTGCTTTCTGTCTCTCTGTGTCTCTCCAGTGAGCACACGCATCCTACAGTAAAATCTCTCTTAAAAAAGAATATTAATTTGATTCTCTGAAGAAAAATTAAGGAATACTAAACAACTCAATATTTAATGGTAAAGAGGAATATATTCCAATAGTTTGATTACTAGTCCTCCCTAGTCTGGGGTTTCACTTGCTGCTGTTTCAGTTACCAACAGTCAATTATTGTCCCAAAATAGGTTGAGTACAATAAGATATTTTGAAAAAGAGAGACTATATTCATCTAATTTTATTACTGTATATTAATTGTTCTATTTTGTTACTATTATTACTGTTAATCTCTAATTGTGCCTGATTTACAAATTAAACTTTATTTTAGATATTCATGTTTAGGAAAAACATACTATATTTAAGGTTCTGCACAATCTGCAGTTTCAGGCATCCACTGAGGGTTTTGAAACAAATGCTCCATGGATAAGGGGGGACTACCATATTAACCATGCTAAGGTTTAAAATCGGGGGCCAGGAACTGTGTAAACGGAGAAGAAAAAAGATTTTCTGAATTTTGGTAGAAACTTTGAGACAAAAACGCACAACTACTTTCAAAATTAAGTTACATCTTCAGTTAATCGATTTAGTGGTTTTCAAAAAGACAACCATGTTCAATATAGATATAACCTTCTGGAAATTTCTAAAATGTTCTACAAATCTGAGCAAAAAGTTGGTTTTCATTTTGTTTCATTTCTGTTTTTGCTTTACTCAGTAAGAGCAAATATTGATCTTCACCAGTATTTTTCTGTGAGTTTTTAATTTTTTTGAGAAATTTATTAACCTCTGGGAAAATAAAAATCACAGAGAATTCAAGGTCCATTATAGCAAACGTTAGACTTCTGGAAACCCCACAAGTAACAACTCTTCATATTACTTTATATGAACTTTGAGTCTTTTTAAATAAAATAAATAAAACATAATAAAGTTAAAATTCTTAGGTCAGCAAGCCTAAGTTCTAGTCCCCACTATTCCTTCCTTAGACGCCACTATGCAAAGTTTGGTGTATATCCTTCCAGTACGTGTTTACATATACACATGTCATTATAGTGATCACACTATATACACTGTTCTGTACCTTGCTTTTTTCTATCACTGTATCTCAAAGGTCTATATATCAGCATATACAGATATGCCCCAATTTTTAAAAAATTGGGGTGCACAATAATTTTTTAATAGATTTGTGGTTTGGCCACATTATTATGTCAGTTGTTTACAGATTGCTTTATTTCTAGAAATCCTGCAGCATACTTATTTGTATAAATACATGTAATATACTTTTGCAAATACAAGGAGTCTTAAAAAAAACTCATGAAAAATGTGTATTACGAAAAAGCCTTTGTTTTCCAGATTTAAGGATTTTTATTTTGTCTTGAACTGCTAATAGGTTCACATATCTACTATTTGAACAGAATCCTAACCTGTTTCCTGGCTTTAAGTTTTAAGCAAAGTTCTCTTAGCATTTCTTTGATTTTGATTTATCAAAGCTAAAACTGCTTTTCTTAAAATTAAAAAATATATATATTTTTTCCTTTATTTAGTTTTTACATTAATTCACTATACATCATTACAGCATACAAATGAATTTTCCATCCAAAATACACTGTACATTGGCTCAGTCAAGCACATCAACATACATGTTATCAACAAACAATTTTCCATTTCTTATGTCTTGTATATTTTGTGTTTTTTTTTGCCATCCTTGATTCCTTATTCCTCAGTCTCTGCCATGTCCCACTCTCTTCCCGCATTGTCTCTGGTATCCATGGTTGCTTTCTATGCCTTTCCTCCCCATTAAATTGATTTGCTAATAAATTAATTAGTCTAAATATTTCCAATAGCAAGCGTAGGAAGTCAAAATCTCCCTTGAAAGTATTAAAAGCAGACTAGATCATTCAGAAAATAGAATCTCAGACATAGAAGAGAAAATTGCTAGCCTAGAAAAACCCACCTCGAAGACTGAGAAAATGGCCAAAAAATTTGAGACTAATATACGAGATATACTAGATACCATCAAACGTCCAAACATCCAGATAATAGGCACCCCAGAAGGCGAAGAGACTCATAAGGGCATTGATCATCTATTCCATGAGATCCTGCAAGAAAACTTTCCAAACCCAGAGAGGCACTCAAAGATTCAGTCCCAAGAAATACAAAGGACCCCAAATAGAATCAACCCAAGAAGATCTTCTCCAAGACACATTGTAGCCAGATTGACCAAAATCTCAGACAAAGACAAGATACTAAGATTGGCAAGAGAAAAATGGCAAGTTACCTACAAAGGGTATCCCATCAGATTAACAGCAAACCTCTCATCGGAAACAATGCGAGCGAGGAAGAATGGGAAAATATATTCAAAGTGTTAAGGGAAAAGCAATTTCAACTGAGAATACTGTACTCAGCAAGATTATCGTTCAATTGGGAAGAAAAGATACGAACATTCCCAGATAAACAAAACCTGAAAGAATTTAGCAGCACCAGAACTCCAAGAAGTTCTTAAGGGAGTGCTATGTCAGTAAAATTAAACGCAGACACACAGAAATAAGAGTTCGAAAACTAAGAAAATGGGCAACTTAATAGTAGGGACAATGTCTGGAGATGAATATTATATCCCAGAACTCAATCTGGAAGATCAAACAACAGAAGAAAGATTAAGTACATGAGACTGAACTGATGAAACAACATTCTGTGACTTGACTAAACATATTGCTGCTTTTCTTCTAAGCTTTGTTGTCCAGTTTTAAAGGATTTTTGTCCTGTCTTTTGCTGTCAATAGGTTCACGTACCTACTATTTGAACAGAATACTAACCTGTTTCTAGGCTTTAAGTTTCAAGAAAATATAGTTAGCAGTTCAAAACTGCTTTTCTTGAAATTACCAGCTGAACTTGCTATTGAAAGTAGTTAGATTACTTATGATATTGTGTGATCAACAAAATGTTGGGGGAAAAGGAACTGAAGATCCACAAACAGAACAAGATGCTAAAAAAGGACAAAATGTTTCACTTTTGGGTAAATATGTTTTTCATACAGGACCAGAGGAAACCTCAGAAAAAGTACAAAATGGAAGTCTCTGTGATCAAGAAATTGATAGTATTTGCAGTATAGAGCGTGCAGATAATGACAAGGAATATCTAGTACTTACTTTAACAAAAAATGATCTTGACAAAGCAAATAAAGACAAGGCAAACCGGTATTTTTCTCCAAATTTTAAGGTGAAGCTGTACTTCACAAAAACAGTAGAGGAGCCATCAAATCCAGAGGCTAGCAGTTCAACTTGTGTAACACCAGATGTTAGTGACAATGAACCTGATCATTATAGATATTCTGACACCACTGACTCTGATCCAGAGAATGAACCTTTTGATGAAGATCAGCATACACAAATTACAGAAGTCTGAATATTTTTTTATCAAGAGGGATAATATACCATGAAAACAAACTTGAATAAACTGAAAATGGACCTTTTTTTAAAATGGCAATAGGACATTGTGTCAGATTACCAGTTATAGGAACAATTCTCTTTTCCTGACCAATCTTGTTTTACCCTATACATTCACAGGGTTTTGACACTTATTGTCCAGTTGAAAAAAGACTGTGTAGCTGTGTCATGTATATGCCTTTTTGTGTCAAAAGGACATTTAAAACTCAATTAGGATAAATAAAGATGGCACCTTCCCATTTTATTCCAGTTTTATAAAAAGTGGAGACAGACAGATGTGTATGTAGGATTTTTCCTTTTGTGTTGTCACCAACTGAAGTGGCTAAAGAGCTTTGTGATACACAGGTTCACATCCTACCCCTTTGCACTTGTGGCAACAGATAAGTTTGCAGTTGGCTAAGAGAAGTTTCTAAAGGGTTCTGCTACATTATAATGCATGTATTTGGGTTGGGGGAATGGAGGGAATGCTCAGAAAGGAATATAATTTATGCTGCACTCTGGACCATATGCCATCTCCAGCTATTTACACACACCTTTCTTTAGCATGCTACAGTAATTAATCTGGACATTTGAGGAATTAGCCGCTGTCACTGCTTGTTGTTTGTGCCTTTTTTTTTTCCTAAGCATATTGGTGCTAGAAAAGGCAGCTAGAAGGAGTGAATCTGTTTTGGGGTACAGTAATGAACCTTCTGTAACATCTTAAGAATTCACAAGAGAAGGGATATAAAAATAATGTGGTCATAGATAAGAAACACAACAATGACTTAACCATATAAATGTGGAGGCTATCAAAGAATGGGCTTGAAACATAAAAATTGACAATTTATTAAATATGTTTTCTCAGTTGTAAAAAAAAAAAAAAGGAATTGAAGACAACTGTATATAGCAGAGACAGTGTAACAAGAGAATGGGAAAGGGCAGAGGGTCAAACATGGGGTAAAAAACATATATATACATATGCATATATATGAGTAGAAATGGAATATATTGATGATAACATGCATGATTAAGCCACTATACAGTTTATTCTAGATGGGAAACCACATTTAGTATGTTGTGATGATGCTCAGCAAATGAATGTTAAGTAATTAAAAAAAAAAAAAGTTTCAGGAGAAAAAAACCCCAGTAAAACTGTTCTTATCAAAAGTTTTTAAAAAATGCATATTTGATGACTTTAGTAAGCTATATAGTTAGCCCCAGCTTAGGTACTATTTTTTAGTATGTTCATTCTACTCACTGAAGTTTATGCCTCAAGTCAGACTTGGGTTCATGTATAGGTATATAAAAATATATATTTAAAAAAAGAAAAAGATACATGTAAATTTCAAATGTTTTGAACCAAAATAAACTATTTGAATTCCATCTTCCATGAACTTTATGAAGTTGCCTTGTATGAGATAAATTCTTAGTGCCAAAATATTTGGGTCAAGGGGACCAGCAGGTAGTGTGGTAGTTAAGGTGCTGGATACTCCCACGTGGCCAACCACAGTACTAGCCCTGGACCTGGTGGCTTGCTTTCTCACTTTCCTTCTTTCTCCCTCTGTGTCTGTGTCTCTCTTGTCAAATTAAAATAAAATGAATGAATGAATAAATAAAATTAAATAATTTTTAAAATTTTGGGTCAAGAGCTTGTACATTCTTAATTGGTACATGTAGTAAGATCACTCCCTAAAAGTCTTCTTAGTCAGGTGTGGTGGCATCTGTCTATAGTTTCAGCTATTTCAAAGGCTGAAATAGAAGGGTCACTCACATGTTACAGGTTAGCCTGGGTAACATGGCCAGACCCTGGCTCTTGGGGGAAGATAAAAAAGTAGTATCGATTTTACACACACATATCCGTGAACACATACAGGACCAGCTTTACAGCCTAGTGGCTAAGGAACCCAGATCCCACAGAGCTGACTGAGGTTGGAATCCTGACCCCTGCAGCTTGAAAACACACAGTACCTCCACATCCCAACAGGACAGAGAAATGGGGAAGAGACTGTAGCATTACTACATCCCATGGGAGATACATTCTCCCTCTCCTCTCTCTGCCTCTCCCTGGTAATTACACACACTCTTTGGCAATTAAAAACAAATACATGTAACTGTTCCATGTATTACCAAAAAAGTGCAGAAGAGGTACATTTGCAAATGTGCATACGCTTCGATTACCCCTTTTGCTTACTATTTTTACACCTTCATGCTGTTATCCCTTAATCTAGCTTGTTCCTTCTAACTGCTGATGTAATTTAAGAATATTTCCAGATGACTGTGGCACAGCAGTAAAGCACTGCTCGAGAAATCCCACATGACAACACTGTTTGAATCCCCTTCCCAGTCACCCTGAAAAACATGTGTGTGTCAGGCAGAAGCATGAATGCTCAAGATTGGGATACACTGGGGGACTGGAGAAAGGGGAATGTGGCATGACCAGACCCACTGGTGGGTTGGCATCTCTCCTCTCTCACTCTCTTTAATTCTCACTTGAGAACATATACACTCTATCAAAAATAAAGAGAAAATTTTTTTCGATGAACTTGTTTCTACAAATTGTCCTAGCACATCTGTAAAACTCTCCCTCTTTTTTTTTTTTTTTGGAGAGGTTTTGCTATAGAGCACATGCGCTTGCCAGAAAGAGAGAGAGACAGAGACAGAAAGCAAGAAATCACCCCCTAGGGGGGATGATCACGCCTCAATCCTTCTCTTCCACTCTCCTCTTGGGATCTTAGGCACTCACGCACATGCGCCCGGCGTGAGTTTAAGCCACTGGGTCCAGGACTCGAACCGCAGTCAACTACATGGGAGTACGACGACATAGCCATTACACCATCTGCTGGTCCCCCAGTTAATGCTTATTCAAACTGACCAGTTATGGGATTTTATAGACTAAATTTGGGAGAATTGACATTTGAACATTGATTCTTTCCATCCAAAAAATTTTTTATTTTGAGCCAGTTAATGGTGTGCCCATCACCCCTGGGGGGTGATTTCTCACTTTCTATCTCTCCGTCTCTGTCTTTCCAGCAAGCGCACGTGCCCTATAGCAAAAAAAAATCTCTCTCCCCCCCAAAAAATATTGACCAGTTATTAGAACTATTGAGAATGTTAGAGTTGACAGGTATAAGATTAATATACAAAAATCAATAGCATCCCCATACGCACACTCCAAAATTTAAAAAAATATAATTTTGAAACAGATACAAGCAACATGGTGTAGTAGTTAGGTTAAGAGCATGAACTCTGGAGCACACTGCCCAAGGTTATCTTTGCCACTTCCTAGCTGCGTGACCTTAAGCAAATTACCCAACCTCCTACTGCCTCAGTTTTCTCCTGTGTGAAATCAGGTAACAGTATCTACCTCACGGCTGCCATTATTTTAAGAATAATAGAGTTATCTGAAGAATTCAGTGGTTTTATTTGTCAACTCTAAACACATTTGTAAAGTGCTTAGAACTAACATCTAAGTGTTTACTAAATAAGTACCATTTATGACAGCAACAACACCGGTATGATACTTAGAAATAACAAAAGCATGGAAGCTCATGCCAAGGAAAGAACAGAAGCCCAAAATAAAAAATTTTTTGGATGAAAAGAATCAATATTCAAAAAAATGTCAGTTCTCCCAAATTTAGTCTATAAATTCAGTGCAATTCCAATCAAAACCTTAACAGGGTTTTTCAGACTTTAGATCATAAAATTTACATGGGGAAAAAAAGGGGGGGGCCTAGATCACCAGAAAGTTTGGGGAAAAAATAATTTAAGAATATTTCTCTTTCAGATATTATTATATACTAATTTTTATATTAGTATTAGAAGTTATTAGAAGAGGAAAGGGAAAAAAAGATCAAAGAAAACAGTTCTGAGGAAAAGATTATGGCATTATAAATTCATGAGGAAAGAATGAGTTGGGACATTGATTACTTATATAGACAGAGATAAAACTAGGCACCTACTTTATACTATAAAAAAAAATTCAACAGTGATCAAATTTCTAAATATAAAATAACACACATATATATGACAATAGACTTATGATATATGAGATAGAGAAAACTTCAATAATAAATATGATGGTGGACCGAATCTGTGGTTTAATGATTAAGGGAGCTGGATCCGACACGCCAATCACAGTACGAGTCCTGGCCCTGGTGTGGCTTGAGATACATGTCGGGAACATGTGTACATGTATGAAATCCTGACAGCATGAGGAAATGGAAAAGAGGTGATTACAATGTGACCGTGCCCCATTGTGGGGTGCTTTCCCCTCTCCTGTTCTGTCTCTCTTGTGAGTACACACACCATCTGGCAATATTTTAAAAATAAACAGTTAAATTATAACAGGTCATGAGGTGTGAATCCCCAGGTCTGGTCAGTCTGAAACATGGTGGGCATGCACACGAATGCAATGACTAGGGGAAGGGATTGCTGCATGACCAGACGCTGGGGGTGCTGCTCCTTTCTCTCACTCTCTCAAAAACATATGTGCTCCACTATGAATGAAGAAAAATAAAAAAGAAACAAATAAAACTGAGTCTAAAGCAACTATGGCAAGAAGGTAACATTTGTTAAATACAACAGTAAGGCAAATTGGTAAGTACTATGTTACTTTCTGCATGTTTGAAATTTTTATTGAGATATAGTTCTGTGTAATGATTTAGTTTATACACAAGTTTCCAAAAATGACAGATAGAATCATATATGTGAAGTTTTGACCCCTCTGGAATTGGTTCCAGATCTAAACATATTAAATGATAGAAATGATAAAAAGTCCTATTTCTAGAACTTCTGAAACAGGGAAAAATATAAAGTAGACAAATGCTTTACAAAGACAAATATTAAATACTGAACACATGTTACCTGCTTCTCCTGAAGAAGTTTCCTCAGTAACTAGGGGTAATCCAGATGCAAAGAAGTCCATAATTGTTGCATAAATATCTGGTTTCAGTAAATTCCAATCTAATTCTTCATTTTCCTATAAAGAGTTGAAGGAAAATGCTCTATTTCCAGCCAAGAGCAAAGACAAGCACAGATCACTACTTTTGTATCTCTCAAGAATGTTAACTGATACACATCCTATACCATGCAATAATAGCACGTTTCTGAGGAATAAATATCAATTCCAGCATGTAAAGGGTCCTACTTAAATGACTTTGAAAAGATACAGTCATAGGATAGCCCCCCATTCATTAATCAAGCTTTATTAAGTATGCTATAGACACCATGACCTCTATAAAGTACAATGATTAAAAGATTTTTTTTCATGATGTAAAGATAATTAAAATACTGAATGGATTCTCTGTGTTGAAAGAGGATGATAAAGACATTCCCATTCTCCTAATGAAAATGGGATATATAGGACATCCACAACTTTTCAAGAAATTCAACTTTAGGGACCAGTAGGTGGCAAAGTGGTTAAGGTGTTGGACTCCCAAATGGCTGATTGCAGTTTGAATCCTGGGCCCAATAGTTTGAAAATCATGCCGGGTGCATGTGTGTGTGTGTGTGCCCAAAATCCCAGGAAGTTTATGGAGAAGGGATTGCAGCATGTCCATCCCCCAGAGGATGACTTCTCACTTTCCCTCTTACTATTTCTCTCTGGTGAACATACATGCCCTACGGTAAAAACTTTAAAAAAAAAAAAAAAGTTCAATATATATTGCTTAAAGAACTTTGAAAAAATTCAATTATGCAACTGGAGGACTATGATACACTACTAGAGGATTTGTAGACTGTCAACTAAACTAATACCCTTCAGAAGCCAGGCAATGATGCAGCAGTAACACAATGCTTTATGATGCTGGACTCAAGGGGGAAAGTCCCCAGTCAGTGTTCCAGGAAACTGAGATTATAACTCTGCTCATAAACATAGCCATTGTAACCATTTTCTTACTTGTATCTTGGCTGGTCTTAAGGTAGGATGCCAAAAGTTTACAATCTATTCTAAAATAAGAGCCATTAGTCAGAGGGTTGATGAAAACCCAAATGCTTTTGGAGCAACTACATGAAGCCCTTACCAAATATCCTTTTTTTTTTTTTTTAGAGAGATTTTTGCTATTAGTGTTGCATGTGCTCACTGGAGAGATAGAAAGCAAGAAATCACCACCACCACTCCCCCGTTGCCACTAAGGGGGATGGCCGGGGGGATGGTCACAATGTAATCCCTTCTCCTCTTGGGATTTTAGGCACGTACATACATGCACCTGGCATGAATATCAAGCTTCTGCGTTAGGAATGGAACTGAGGTTGGCCACGTGGGAGTCCAGTGCCTTAGCCACTATATTGTCTAGTAGGCCCCCAAGTATACGAATCTTAACTTACAATCATATGAGGGACAAGTCATATAAAAGGATCAATTCTTGTCCCAGTCAGCTCCTGATATTCAAAAAATAAGCTCCAAAGGCTTATGCAGGGCTCAAAGATAACCCTGGATCATCTCCGTCAGGCTGCCACTACAGCTTTTTATAATCGAGACCAAGAGGAGGAAGCATGGGTCCGAGAGAGGGAAAAGAATGATCAGAGACATGCCTGGTTATTGGCTATGTTCTAACCTGTCTGATGGCTCAAGGCTCCAAGCCAAACAAACATACAAATGCTCTGCCTGCAAGGAAAAGGGGCACTGGGCCAAAAGGTATCCGAATCATGACACCCACTACAGAATCCCTGGCCTTGTTGCCAGCAGGTGGGTCAGTCAGCTGCTTTCTGCACCTGGGATGAAGGACTCAAGGGCCTGAGGCAAGGCCCATGATGACCCTACAACAAAAACAAGACTGAAGAGGCCCACTCCAGCTGGCTCCTATGCAAGCAGTTGTCACTCAGAGACTGGAACACAGGGTCACTTTGTTTATTTGTTTGTTTGTTTTGGAGAGGTTTTCACTATAGGGCGCGTGCGCTTGCCAGACAGACAGAGAGAGACAGAGACAGAAAGTGAGAAATCACCCCCCAGGGGGGATGGCCACGCCGCAATCCCTTCTCCTCCACCCTCCTCTCGGGATTTTGGGCACGCATGCACACGCGCCTGGCATGAGTTCTAAGCCACCAGGTCCGGGACATGAACCGGGTCGACTACGTGGGAGTCCAGCGACACAGCCATTACGCTAACTGCTGGTTCCCTCAAGTAGTTAAATTTTTATCACCTAGGTTTTCCTTATCTCACACAAAGGATTGGAGATCAGTCTTCGACCAAGGGTGGGCAAAGGGAATATGAAGACTCTGACCACCAGGAGGGACAGTGGAGTCAGAGCAAGGATGATCTGGGGGTCCTGAGGAAAATCACTGATGTTTACAAAGTTTAAATTTGCCTGGTGAGAATTCCAAACATTAGACCAGGGCTGCACTATCTGGTTTCCAAACCAGACTGCACCACTTACACACTGCCTGATCTTAAGCAAGTCATGTGTCCTCTTTGCATCTTTAAAACACAAATAATAATCCTCTGTTGAAGGATGTAACTTTGGATGTGGCAGGAAGGTCAGTTGGATTTCTTTTGGATACAGGGGTTACCTACTCTGCCCTGATCTCCTGTCTTGGAACCACTTCTCCTCAAACTAGCCTAGTGATTGGAGCCACCAAGGGATCCTCCAACTATCACTTAACAAAACCCTTGCTTTGCCTATGGGATTATTGTACTTTCCCTCACAGTTTCCTTATTAAGCAAGATTGTCCCTGTCCTCCATCAGACCAAGATATTCTTATGAAAACTGGCACTACAGTCATGTTGGGAGAAAATGCCACTTTCAGACCTCTCTAAGCTATGTTTTTTATGGGTCCAAAGTCTCCTGTCCCTCTTTCTGCTCCTTGGGAAGAAGCTGTAAGACCAAAGACATTAAAAAAAAAAAAAAAATCCTTGAAAAGGTCAAAAGGACAAAACCTGCATTATCCTTTTAAAAAAATCCAGACAAAAACAATATACCCAAGCCTGTTGGGGAGTCCAAGAATTAATTCAAAATATCTAGATCATGGATTACTACTAATACCTATTCATTCTCCTTATAAAACTCCTATTTCAGCTAACAAAAAGGATGCTACTTTTCGGTTAATGCAAGGCCTCTGCATTATTAATGAAGTCATAATCCCACTACATCCTGTGGTCTCAAATGCCTACTGCCTATTAAATCAAATACTTCTTTCTGCTTTTTAGTTTTGGGTCTTAGAGCTTAAGAATGCCATTTTTTACTGTGGCACCTCAATCTCAGTTTCTACTTGCCTTTGAACGGAAAGATATAACGTGATGGGCATCTGAGGGCTGTCTTTGTGGAGATAAGGGTATCCCTTGGGCTTCTGATTGCTTATGGAGCCCTGGTAAAAGAGTCAGTGTCTTTTAGCAGCCTTGATTGCTCCAATCTCTGTCCACCAAAAATAACGAGAGCAAGTGTTAAACCAGCACCCTACGATGATTCACTCACAGTGCTAGGGACTTACCTGCGGTATCCCAGATGCTGATGCACACGTTTCGGGTACACTCTCTTGCCTTGATGGGTGTTGGTGCTCACTAGCGTGTTCTACATAATCTAGCTGACTCATACTATCATGGTAATGAAACTGCTACTGCCCTCAGTGCTTTACAAACTTCTGCACACTCTGGCAAAAGAACTGTCCCCAACAATTGCTCTAGATTACATGTTGGCAAAACAAGAAAGTATGGAAGACAATTAACTTCTTCTCCTGCTCCTCCATTAATTCTTCCCACCAGGTAAAACTAAGTATCAAAAAACTGAGACAACAGGCAACCCAACTACAACAAACTTTAGATTGTCAGATTTTATTTATCTATGAGGACACTGAAATTCTCTGTAGTCTATTTAACTGGACACCAGCTAGAATTCATTCTGTGCTCAGTGGACTAGAAAAACTCCTTTTACTTCTCTTAACTGCAGTCATAATACTTTACATTCACTACCAGCTAATACTCTATTGTATCTCAAACTTCTGTTACAGATGTCCTCCTGACCATGGCACTCACCTAATGACCCTAACTGGGAAACCTTGTACTATTTCTTTTGATGGCTTCCCTAACACTTTATGTGTTAATAAAAGATGGCTTATTAATACAATTAATATTATATGCTATGTCCCATTTCTGTTTCAGATGTCTTCCTGATTGCGGGTCCCACCTAATGACCCTGACTCCCCAGCTGTCCTCCAGCTACTATTCCAGCCGGCTAGATGGCTATGGAAATGCCTATTCTCACAGCTAGGACAGAGAGATTCAAGGAATGAACCTTTTCCTCTCAGGTCACCTCTGCTCAGCAGG